GCACGGAAGCAAACTCCCAGCAGTTTTCCCTTCCCCTTCTGGGATCGCCCACAGCATAGGTGCCAGGGTTTTAAACAGCAACTTCGTGGCTGCCTCCTGTGGCTGTTGGAAGGTGAATTTCTTGGGGGTTTTATCCTCTTGTGTAAGAACAGCGGTTGGGATCACATAACCTTCTAACTTGGACACAATTGCTGGTTTCTGCCGAGGAGGCCCAGAAAGCAGCTATTATAGCTGCTGAATAACTTCTCACTCTGAAAGAAGCCGGTGCTTTCAGATCAGGTTGGAGGTCAATGACAGGGAGAAGCCAGGAAGCTCACACTGCAGCTGTCTGCAAATTAGCTTTCCCTGCAGACACTGCCAAGCAAAATGAGAGTTGGCTAGGAAGGCAGGGTGTCCTCCAATCTTTAAAAATGTATTTTGTTAAATAGAAAAAGGAAAACCGACCCACCCACCCTTTCATTGTACTCTTGAAACTGAAAAGATCCACACATCTTTCACCACGGGTAAAATTGTTCGTCTGCGAGTGGAGACCCTTTCTTCCTAGCCCTCAGCTGAAGGAAGGCGGAGGTGCAGTGCTAGCGGCTGTGTCTTCCAGTGCAGAAAGGAAAAGGAGCAGCGAGTGAGTGAGTGTCCACTCAGGTGGGAAAGGGCGGCCTAGGGCAAGGACACAGCCCTTTAAGGTTGTCCATGCTCTGTGTTTCACTCCGCCATAAGCACTTGGCTTGGCTCATTCTTGGTAAGCCAGAGAAACTGCTTGGCTGCATGCCTGAGGTTGTACCACCCCAAGAATACAGGTGGTAATAGAAGGGCACCTATGTTAAGTTCGCAAACATAATTTAAGTAAAATTAAAAGTAATTTAAGTAAAAGTAAGAGTAACTTAAGCAGTAAAACATTCCCTTTGGGACGTTTATGAAGAGACCTTTATTCTGAAGCCATTTCTGGCTTCACTGTAAAAAACCCTGTCCAACGGAGAGAGTCGGAGGCAGGTGCCTCGCACCAGCTTCGGTCATCGGCTTCCTCGGAAGGGAAAATTTGCACATTAAATCAAGAAGTAATCTACATGAGCTTTTGGAATCCATTATGGTGTCCTCTCTTACACAGCAAGCCAGTGAGTGGACTTCAACTTTTTGAATTTATAAATTAGGAAATCAATTCAATATTGCATTACATACTTTAATGGAGTGGTGAGTTGCTAAATCATCGTTTTAAAGGTAATTGAATAATCTGCACTTCTCCCTCACTCTACTCCTAAGCCATTTTCCCAAAGATTAAAAAGAGAGAGGAGAATCTCTGAACCACTGTTTGATACACTGATTGATAGGGTTTCCATTGTTCATGAAACTGGATGCGTAGTATTTACATTAGAGCCAGTTTTTCAGAATTTATTTTTGTTTTCTTCCAACTTTATTTGGTTTGAAGTCTGCTCTGGAATACTGAAAACTGCTGGGCAGTAGGTACAGACAGTGTGGGATTGAACGTGTCATGTATGATGTTTAAAATGTGGGCAGTTAGGGCTCTGCTATCATAGGGTAATTGCCATTAGGATGGGATAGAACATTAAAATTAACACTGGAGTCTATAAATTTCTACCACGGAGTCCGGAGCAGCTCTAGGCCATGCTTCTGGCCGGTGTAAATCTGTGTCCTTCTGACTCTGGGAAGGCAGAGCCCGGCCTCTTCCCTGATCTGGGTTCCACTTCTCCAGGTCCCACCCCAGCTGCAGCTTTACACCCACAGGAGGAGTCCGGTTTGGTTTTGACCTCAAATGTCCCCCAGAGGGCTCCCAGTGTTCAGAGGCAGGGGCTTTGCCCGTTGTGGACTCATCTATGGGTGAGCTGTGGGGCTGAATGTGCTGTTAGGAGGGAGGCCTGCTGTGAAGTGTTCACGGGGGTGACCTGGAAGGGAGTGTGGCTGTCTGCAGGTCCCCACCCTGCTTCCCGGTTGAGCAGCTGCCTTCAGTCCAGCTCTTTCTGCCTGGGAGCCAGCCACCAGGGAACGCATCCTCTGAAACCATGAGCCAAAACACACCTGACCTCCTCGAAGCTGTAGGAGTCAGGTTCACATCCCTGCCACAGGGACGTGAGGACGACAGGGCCTGACACCACTATTCGCTGTGGTTCGGGTGCAGTGGGAGGTCCTGGGAGCGTTTTTCCCTTCGGGTTCACATGTGAAAGGTGGCTGTTCTATGCACACCAGTTAGGGCAAAGCCGGAAGCAGAGCTGCCTCCTCTGAGGCTTAGTGCTCAGCTCATTTGTTCCCACGAGCCCAGGCAGGACAGAGGCCTAAAGAACAGCAGCATCTACTGCTTCCCTCACCTCTGGCTGGGCCAGGACCTCCTCACTGAAAGGAGCCCCACAGGGCTCCACCGCAGTGCACCAGCTCGGCAGACACTGCAGTAGGGCAGTGGATGAGGCAGATCTGGGGTGCCCACCTGTGTGTTGGGATCGCAGCTCCATTGCCTGTCTCCTTGGCCAGCCTGGAGTTTAGGGTCTTTATCTACAGGTCTTAATAATGACCCAAGAGATGAATGCATGAAGTGTGACCACAAAATATGGTGGCTGGTGAAATTTTAAAAATGCTTCTCAGTAAGAGACCCATGGCCACGAATCCCTGCCCAGCCTCCCCCGGCTTCACACACAGCCATCCTGTCATCCTCACCACTTTCTGCAGCAGCTGTGCAGCCCTCTTTCCCGAGTGTCTTTAGTTGCCTCAATGGCTCAGGCTCCCCTGATGTCCTGAATTAATTCAAATCCTTTCCCTTTTGTGGTCACTGCGACTTTGGGGAAGAGACAGAAGTCACCTGGTGCTGGATCCAGTGAGTACTGTGGGTGAGGACACAGCACCATGTTTTTATTTGGCAGAAATTTCCATGAATGTTTGTTCCATATTTAAATTAAAATGTGTTACAGTGAAAGGCTCATGGCCGTTAATCCCTCTCAGACACTACATCATCCCCTCGCTTCAGCACACTTATTCTGTCATGGTGCAACTTGCTTTCTTTGTTAGAAGTCTGTTACTTGAAGCCCTCACTGTATTTTTTAGTCACTTCTGTGTATAAAGCTTTTTCAGTTGAAACAGTGCTGTACAAACATGAGGGGCGATGAAATGAGCTCAGGGCTGAGGAGAGCCTTGGGGGCTGCCCCACAGCGCCCCCTTCACACGGAAGTGAGGAGGTAGATGCTCGGGGCGGTGGCCTCACTTCCCCCCAGGCTCCTGGGCTCGCGTCTCCCCCTCGCCCCTTGACCTTGGAGACCTTGGTCCAGACCTCACCCCAGGAGACCACACGAGCATCGCCTCTTCTCCACTCCTAGGCTGTGGCGACCCCGCTCACCGATTAAGCACTGTTTCTTGCTGGTCCAGACACAGCTCCCGAGCCTCGCAGTACACTCCTCCCAAGCAGTCCTTGCCATCTCTGTGGGTGTGGCAGATGAGATGCAAGTCCTGGCTGTCTAGTGTCTGAGGGACTCACGCTCATAGGAAGTAAGTTTGCCGCTTCGGGTACGCTTGTCATCGCAGCAAAGTCAGTGGCACTTGGTTCTCCGAGATCATCTGAGAGTTCAGGAAAATGCACCTGCTGCACGCAGCAGGGCTCCCGCCTGAGCGAGGAGGAAGGCAGTTCCTGCCCAGCAGTGTCCTTGTTCCTGTCACTCTGACTGCCGCCCGAGCGCTCGGCATAGGTGCCCCGGAGCCTCTGTACATCAGCTCAGAAGCGAGTGCCCTGCCCGCACTGGCACGCTCCTCTGTGCCAAGTCAGCTTCCTACTGTCAGTAACCTCGTGCACCTTTCTTTCATTCCATTCTGAGTGACACGGCTCTACCTCCTGGCTGTGATGACCTGACTCCCTCATTCAGGTTGCTGCTGTGTGTGCATGTGTGCATGTGCATGTGCGTATGTGCTGTACTATAAGTGCAGTGGGCGTTGTGTGGCATGCGTGTGTCTGTGCCCTTTTTGCTTGTGCTCAGAGTGCTTTCCACCAAGAGCTCACTGCTTGTCAAGATGAGATGTGCACTGTGTTTGGAGCCAGAACCTTGCACCACTGTGCCTGCCACCTGCACCGTGTTTCAGGCGACTCTACGAGTCTGCTGCTGTGGACTGGATTCACCCAAGATCTTTGCTGCGAATCCACAGAGACTCTTCATGGGGCCCGATGCAGCTATGTGCTCTTTGAACTTTGATCGGTCCAGCAGTTTACTGGCCTGGTTCACCAGACAGTTCCAGCTCGTGCAGAGTGCCTTTGTCACATGGATGCCCGGGTGAGGGTGACAGTTGATAGGTCAGCTCCACCCATCATGCACAGGGACACGCTGAGTCCACCTGCTGACTCCCAGGCCCAGGCAGGCTCTTCTGGAAATGCTCCTGGGAATCCCACCAGGTAGCATCAGGGACAAGAGGCGAGCTCAGCTGAAGAAGGAGCGGGGACCCCAGCCCTTCTGGAGGAGCAGCCTCCAGCAGCACCTCATGCTAGAGTTTGTGTGGTCTCGGCTCCTTGTCTCACCTGTGGCTGGAGGGTGATCTCCCACAGGCCACGGATGCCCCCTATGCCACCTGTGCCTGCATGCATGCCTTTTCAGTCTGCCTGGGTAAGTCCTTAGAGCACCCAAGGAAGAGCCCAGGTATCTGTTTTCTCCATAGAGAAATGAGGAAATTCATTCCTGCCCAAACATCTGTCTTCAAAAGAAAAACATGTTTCAATGTGTAGTTTATGTTTTGACTTTGAAGCGGTATACTTACTATGGGGGAAATATCATAAAATAACAATGCAGAAACACAGATACAAACCTCAGTTCATCTTGCTATTCATTAAAGAAAATTACCTGGTTCCTTTTCTCTTTGCTTATTTTGTGAAACAAAAGGAAGAGCCCACTCCTCCAGAGAGGGCCTCAGATTCTTAGGAGGAAAAACTTTTGTCTTTTCGCCGAGAGGCCTGCAATGAAAGGCTGAGAAACATCTTCCTTGATTGCAAACCTTGGAGCCAGAAAAATTATCAAGTGGCTAGAATATGAAACAATAAGCAAAACTTACTTTAATGTAATCACATATAAGGGATAGGGTGAAATAAGAAAGAAATGTGTCTGAAAGAAAATGTAAGACATTACATGACTCGTATTTACAGGGATCCGAAAACTACAAAGGAAAACACAAATAAATGCATCCCTTATCATATGGAGGAGAGGGGGTGACAGCAGAAGGCAGGCAAGTGAACATCCACCTGAAGACAGAAGAGAGTGAAGCGCTGGCATAGCCGCAGCAGCGGGTGACACTCGCCTCCGGCCGCGCCTCACCTTTGGCCCCAGGTCCGAAGCTGGCCCGTCTGGTCAGCCTCACGGCCTTGAGGTGTAGAGGTGGGGCCACACTTGTGACGTCTGGTGTACAGCTCCCCTGCTGGCCTTCTGTCTACTGAATGACGCTCCTTTGCCAGGCTGCAGCGCTGAGACCAGCTTGCTTTTGCAGTTCTGCCAGGTGAAACCAAATGTGAGCAGTGTCGCGTTAAAGTCATGTGGCCTTGTTTCTAACTGAGTGCATAGGGCCGCTTGCCTTCCTGACCCAGCCCGCAAAATTGGTTCACTGGATACAAACCCAACTGAAGGTGAGGAGGGAAGCGGACTCCTGGACGACGGGCGTCCTCACCATCACCTGCTGCAGGCAGCTGTGTATCCCAGGGAGGCGGGCGGGAGGCTTCCCACTGCAAGAGCTATGCACTCCCCAAGCCCCCTGCCCTGTGCAGAGGTGGGGGCGAAGCCCCTTACTGGGAGAGCAGAAGGCCCTGCCCTGTCGCACGGCGCTCTGTGGCTTGAAGTTGGCGGTGGCAGAGTTCTCCGGTCTGGCAATCCGGTAAATAGCTCTCTGTTTAAAGAGCAGACTGGCAGAGAACTGATGTACTCCACAGGCGGCTGGGGTGAGATTAGATGAAAACAATTCGGTGTGCTCTAATGGGACGAGGTGCTCCTAAGGTATCAGTTTATCTTCTGTGAGCCGAGAAGCTGGTTTCTTCGGTCTCTTGTGTCACGGCTCAGCTGTAAGAGAGTAGTACTATTCTTCAGTATTAAATACAATTCCACAGTATCAATTAAACATGACCTTACTGTAAATCTAAGTCAAGTGTTTTTACTTTGGAAAAATTTGTGTGCATAGAAACGTTCAGCACTCTGGGAGGCTGAGTCAGGAGGATAACAAGTTCAGGCCCAGCCCAGGCAACCTAGAGATTCAGTGAAACCCTGTACAATTAAAACATAAATAAACAAAAAGGGCTGGGATGTAGCTCAGTACAGAAACCCTGTACCTCAAAAAGAAAAAAATAATAATGCAAAGAGCAGTTCAGTATGTGAAAGGCAAAGTATTTTTACATGGGTCCCTGACAGCGCTGGGCCCCCAGACAGTGCTTGAGGTGTGTCTCTCATGAAGTCTCACCTGCTGAGCATGAAGGCCGCAGGACGGCAGCCGGAGGTGCGGAGAGCCGTGTGCCCCGTGGTGGGATTTCTGCACATCCTCATTATTCAGGTTGTTTTCAGAATTCATGGTGAACAGCAAAAACGGGCTCCGACCAGTGTCCATGTCCACAGGGAGGGCTGTCAAGTCACACGTGGCCCTTCCGCAAGGCAGCCCCGGGTAAGAAGTTCACAGGGCAGTGCTGGGAAATATCTGGAACGATGAGAATTATTAACTGAGCTAGAACCCGGCCAGACTCCTGAGGTCTTTTATTCAAAAGTAAACACAAGTTAAATGCACTGTATATGTTATTAATCAAAGGTGCCAAAATTAGGCATAGGATATTTATTAAAAGAACATAATCATTCACCAAGTCAGTTGTGTAACACACTGAAATTATAAGGATGGAGAGTTTAAAGCCATATCTCTGTCTTCACTTCTACTGAACATTTTGTTAGTTCTAGATTAGATTGCAGTGTTAGTCAAATAAACTTAAATGCTTCAAGTAATTATTATATCATGAAAATCCTTACAGCTTAATGCCAGGAACATCTAAGTCCCTTATTGAAACCCAAGGACAGTTAGCTGTCAAGTGAAGGGTAGGGGCCACGTCTTTCTAGAGAAGCAAGCTCAGTCTTGTGCTCAGAAAATTCTCATAAAATCACTTGGCTGAGACTATAAATGAAATACAGAGCAAAAGGAGCTTTTTAAACCACACTTCTCAGCAGTGCTAAACTAATAAAGGAAATCAGAACCAGGAGAAAAACATTGGCCAATGCTGAAGTTTCTAATAAATTTAAGAGCTAAGTGGAAACCCAGGGGCGGGAAAGGCATCTCCCACAAGCAGCAGTGGGGACTGAGCTCCTCCACTTCCTGCTCCACTCGCACAGGGCAGGGCTCACCAGGCCAGGCAGCTCACCAGCTGGGCTCTGGTGTACGTGTGTGTCTGTGTGTGTGCATGTGTTCACATGTGTGTGCCATCGCATCTGCTGAAAGAGGAAATACTCCCCCTGCCAGACTTGGGTCAGGAGGTCAACAGGTCTCATTTATTATTCAGAACTGCTGCCTGACCTTTTATTTCCAGCTTGGAGGACCTTGTATTCTAGTTGTTTGATTTTTTTAATGATGAAGTCACTATCTTGCCAGATAATAAAATTATGTCTTTGCTTTCCTGGGCATTATGATTTTCTCCTTTCCATCTGAAAATGTAGTGTTCTGAACCACTGGCTGCAGTAAGGACCTGTAAAGGAAACCGTTAGTTTGAACTTTTCTTTTTCTGCAAGATTTCCAGAGATTTAAATGGCACTGAGTGCTGCCACTAGTTGAAGCTGTTGTCTTGCATGATTCTAACCTTTCAAGCGCATTCGGGTTCCTCCCCTTCCTGGAGACTTCATTGCTACACGCAGTCCTCTGCAGTACAGGTGTGGGGTCAGATGGCTCCAGATTCTCACTGGTGCAACAGAGAGAAGGGACAGAGAGAGGATAACTCATTTTCCAGCTCAGAGGATGTTTGGGAGCTTCCTTCCATCTTTTTGTAGTGTACAGATTTTCATCACCAAGAAAGAATTTTCTAAACACTTCACTTTTTTATGTTTCATCTCATAAAACACAGTGAAAGAGAAGCAGCACAGACTCCACTCAATAGAGCGTACATTTGAAAATATTCAGACGTCCAGCCCCGAACTGTAAAAGTAGCTATAAACATTTAACAAGCAGCACTGAAGAAAATGGAGAGGACTTCTTAGGAGATCTGGTAGCAGTGCAATAGACAGCATTCCCAAAGAATGATTTTGTCCTTTGTAAAGCCAGGGGTCGAAGGTCTCACCGGTCCTGCCCTTGAAGCAGACATATGAGATGCGGCCATGTGCTTTGTGACACTGCATGTGATGAATAACTTTGATGAGCTAGTACACAAACCATGGGAGTCTGTGACATTCATGGGCCCGGGAGGCAGTGATACCCTGTGCAGGTGAAATCACAGCTCTGCTGTGCATCCTCAGCTCCGTCTGTTGTGGAATTCCCTGACACTGACAGTATCTATATGCAGTAGTGCACATGCACGCACACACGTGTAGAGCAGTTCAGTTGGGGACAGTCTGAAAATGCCAGGTACCACGTGCAGGCATCCAGGCAGCCCCTCTGCTTTCTCTGAACACTGCAGCAGCAGATGGCCAGGAGGCCAGCTCACCGGCCCTTCCCCACCGCTCTTGCAGGCTGGGGGTTGGTCCCCAGGGTCAGCTCCTCCACCCACAGATCCCGCAAGCGTGGCTCTCTGCACATTCCCAGCTTCCTGCCTGCCCGAATTCTTACCTGCAGCTATTTTACCACCACTTTGGGGACCCCTTTCCTGGCCCAGCAGAAGCCTCTTGGAGGGAGTTTCCAGCTCTGGGCCCTTGCTCTCTGCCTAAGCGTCTGACATGGGACTCTCATAGTCCTTGTGTCCCACAGCAGATCCTCAGTGGGGCTCTCATTTCCTGTTTGATTTGCGCACAGCATCAGAATTGTGCTTGCACGGGGAAGCAAAGTCGTGGTGCTGAAGGTCTCCAGTCTGTTCATCGACACGTGAGCCACCTGAGGAGGGCCGATGGCTGAGGCTTCCCTGTCCCTGAACTGTAGGCAGCTGCTGTCGGGCTCAGTGCAGAGCAGGAGAAGGTGGTGAGGGGTGCCATCCAGTTTCCCCTTCAAACATGCATAGTACTCAGTGTGACCCGTTCAGCGCTACCCGTGTTTTGGTTTCTTTTCATGGAATTCCCAGCACAACGTAAAACCCTGAACACGTTCTCTGGGCCCAGCGTCTTTGCCCACCCCTACCCCAGCCTCCTGTTGGCCACACCTCCCGAGTGTCGGCTTGGTCTTGCTGGCCTCAGGTCCTGCACAGGCACACGCAGAGCTCCCAGCCAGCCTGGACCCGACGTGCACTCGCCTTTCCTGACCTGGGTTCCCTCTGCCCCACGGCGTCCTGGACTTTCTTTCTGGTCACTCATTGGCATGCTCTTGTGTTTGTGCATGTAGTATGTGTCTCCCAGTCAGATTGCAAGCTTCATGTCATGGAGCCCACCCGTTTGTTTGCCAGTCCATGTCCAAGGCCTGTATTCCAGCACCTGTCATGGTGTACGCGCTCAGTAAAACTCTCCCAGCAGCAATGCTCTGTCCTGCTCCCTTCCCCTGCATCTGTGGCACTTCTGAAGGACTCTGTCCGGGGACACAGTGTGTTTACAGAAAGCTTCTACCTCTTCCTGAACCTTGCAATGGAAGCAGCTAGAATCCTCGTCTCTCCAGGACTGGGTAGTGATGACGTGAGGCTTGGAAAGGTGAAGTAGAGGAAGCTTTCTTTCTGATGCTTAGGAGGGCGATGGAAGAGGGTATTCTTAGGTCACAGTCCCAGGCACAGAGGCCTGTGAGCTCTTGGGACCACAGGTTCACTGTGCCCTGGACTCTGGGCTCAGCTGGTAGCTTGATGGTCAAGACCAGGGCTCTATGTACCATAGCTGATGAGCTGAAACCAGCCTGCTGCCTCTTTCTATAAATAAAGTTTTATGAACACAGCCACGCTTCCCCTTCCTAGACTGTGTGGTGGTTATCATGGACTAACTTAAGGTTGAGTGGTTGTGGTAGACACTGTCTCGCCGCTCCAGTCTACAGTACCTGACTACCTTCACCGCCCAGGGAAGCTTTGCCAGTCCCTGGTCAGGGCCCAGAGAAGGGCACACAGTTGTGGGCAGAGATGAGACCTGCTTTCTCATCACTTTGCCATGTTTGCCACTGAGCACTGTTCGGAAATGGTCACGGGGTTCAAGGACATGGGTTTTTTTGGCTCAGCTGAACTGATCCGTGGCACTTGTGGTACTGAGGAAGATTCTGGCAATTCATCTTGGAGAGGCTCTGCATAGATGACGGGAAATAGACAATCGCAGGTGGGCACGATATCTCTGAAGATCCTGGACCCGGGCCTGGACTGGGGCCTTGGGCTGAGACAGAGCAGTTACCGGAAGCTCCGTGATGGCCACTTCCCTCTGAGCTGACAGCAAAGCCTGCACCGCGATGGCTGGGCTGTTCGGAGAAGAAAGAACACATAGCATGTCAGAAGCCCATATGTCAGCTGCCACGGCTTCTGGAAACTGCCCAAACAGTCTGCCTTCCATGTTTGGCCAAAACAGCATGGTCTAATGTCCATGACCTGCGGGTCCCAGAGCGCTTGGAGCTCCCCGACCCTCCACACAGATGGCCGCTCACTCAGCACCTCTTCCTGTGGGGGCACGAGGAGGCACTGCTCTGTCTTCTGTGTGGCTGCATCTTCCCTGCCAGCACCTGGGGGTGCCCAATGTGCCAGGTCAAGCCTGCACATGACCAAGGGAGAGCGAGCGCCCTCCAGGCACACACGGTGACATGGCCCACACCTCACCAGCTCAGACCTGGATGCCCGAGTTGCTCATGATCGCATGCAGCTCTGTGCTCTCTGTTTCTTTAGAGTTTCCCCAATGCTAGGGCTTGCTCCTTGTCACCGCCATCCTCTGTCTGGAGTTGAGAGGACCCCAGCAAGCCCTGCTGCCGGTCCTGCCTGTGCCCACCGCTGCTGACTCTGAGTTTAAACATGCTTCTCCTGTGACCTCATCTAACAAACCCCATCTCCCAAATGGCCCCCCATTTCTAAGTGGCCAGAACTAGTTTTTGCAATCTTACCGTCACTTATAAGCTGACCAACAATAGCTAATGCTTTACAACCCAGCTACCCCCACCCCGCAAAAAAATCAGTGTGTGATATGGTCAGAAAATCATTACCATTCACTCCAGATAGTTCCTTCAGCTTTTGCTTTTTAGACTCACCCCAATTCCCATTGCCTTTATAAATTAATAAATGGAGCTCATTAAAGATTAATGCCTTGCTTTCTCCTTTTGGTGACTCACCCTCTCTCCTCAAATTCACCCTTTGAAGTCCGCCGAAATTCTGCCCATGGCTACGCGCACACCAGGACCCCGGGCAGCGCTGGGCGGAGACCAGGCCAGCAGCGCCTCCTCCCGACCCCGACCCGATGGAGCAGCAGCTCTGCTCCTGCCTGGGTGTGGTGGCTCGAGCTCTTTCTCCTCTCTAGCGGCACTGACCAGGGAGAGCCCTCAGCACAGGACTGTTCAGAAGGCGCCAAGGCATGCTCAGCCCCTGCCCCCACTGGACTGTATTTAGAGTCGGGAGGACAGGACGTCTTGGGTGAGGGCCAGCCCACGGCTCCGAAGGACCGGCGCAGGCCCGGTGGCTGAACATCCTGGCATCATTTGACCAGGTGCAGGGCCCCACGTTCAGTCCAGATGGATACCACCGGTGGGGCCAGGGGTCAGACCACAAGGCCAGGCGGCTGTCACATTAGTGCCTTGCAGATCTGTCACATTCTCTTCCCTTTGCTGTCCATGGCGTCACCAGGACTGCCACGGGGAGTCCACTCTGTCCTCTTCTGTGTCCCCACAGAGACAGCGGTTCCTTCCTCCACCCACTTCAGACGCCACCACCTGCCGGAGCACCTGCCACAGGCCAGTCCTGCCATTGCTGCGGATGGCAGGCTCAGGAGACCACCTGAGACCCCTCGGTCCAGGCCGCTGACCGAAAGGGCCGAGTGCCGTTCTTGCTACAAAGTGACCCTGGGGCTCCCCTGTCCTTGTCCCCCCGTGACGAGCACCCTTAGGCAGAGTTCCAGGCTTAGCTCTGGGAACCGTGGCCACCTGATGGGCACAAAGGTCATCAGTCACCACGGCCCCTCACCCTGCGGCGCTCACTGATTAT